TATTTTTTTTATCTATAATGAAGATTATATCAAAGATGATCTGATTTTTCATGTATTTAAAACCTTTCACATCAACCAAATATACAATGCATGTAATCATTCACTTGTTGCGTGTCATATTATTAAAATTTCATAAAATGACATTTTAATATCATCTCATAATATTTCTTATATAGCTCACTTATTAAAATCGATTATATTGCTTATCAAAAAAACATGTGAAGTAAATTTTTTGAAGAAGATGCATAAAGAAGAAACAAATTAATTGATTTTTCTATAATATTGAGTTTTTGATAAAAATGAAATATTAAATCTTAATGTGATATCCAAATTTTATTAAAGATAACGAAATTTATTGATTATTTATGATAAACTTAGAATAAGGATCAATAGTTTCTGAAACCACATTTTTTATGTGAAAAAAGTAGTATATTCAACTATCATTTGAGTTTTGTATTTTTAAAATCAAATCTGAAAAATAATTTTAAAACTTAGATTTAAATTTTTGAATATTTTCAATATATTTAAAATTTAAAATTTCAATTTAAATTTAATATTTTAATGAGGAATTTAAATTTTTAAAATGATATCTGAATTTTATGATATCAAAGCATTTATATATTTTTAAAAATATTTAGTATCATTTGAAATTTAATATTTTGTTATTGTAGTTGTTAATACATCATTTCAAATTTTTGATTATGAAGTTATTTTTTCAAAACTTGATTATAATTTTAAATTTATATACTCTGTATTATTTCATCTTTTTGGTAATTTTGACTTATGTAAATTTTATTAGATAATTATGATGTGTATGGATACATTCTATCACTTTACTAAAAAACACAAAATGCTTTCGGTTTGAATGCGTGATAGAATTGAAGCAACTATTTACTTATTTTATTTTCATTTTGTGTGTTTTTTATAAGACTTAAATGTTTGAATTCATCTAATTGTGAAAAGCTCTATGTTAAATAAAAATTATTTTGATATAATTTCTATTTTTTATTTTTTGAAATTAATGTGTTATATATGCAATTTTTTAGAAAATATTTGAGGTTTGATTTTTTAAATAATGAAGTAATATTGTTATTATTATTTGTCAATTTATATATTTTGAATATTCATCTATGTTTCATTTTAAGATTTAGCAAGTTTTAGCATTTGATTTCATAGTTCAACATTTTTTTTGTTATTCAAATTTTTTTATTTGAAATATTAATCAACTCAATATTTTGAATCAATATTCATATGATATGGCTGTTAATGTTGATCCAATTCTAAAACAATGTCAATGTTTTTAATATAATGTACTTTAATCATTCAAAAATCAACATCCTTTTTACAACATTGTTCTACATTTTCAACGTTGATTGACAATCCATCATCTCAATTTTAAAATTCGATTGAATTCCTGAATTCTGAGAATGTAGATGTACAAAATCAATCATATTGATTTTGATACTTTCGTATTCTTTACCATCACAAAGCGTATTGATCAAATCTTGCCAAAACACTTGAAAAGCTTTAAAGTTAACACATCTGATTACCTGATCAGACTTGAGTACTAGGCCTTTACTTTCCATTTATCAAAGGTTTATAAGTACATATTACTTTCAATCATAAGTTGATTATGTGTAAGATGTTAACTATCTCCAATGTAAACCTAGGGTATCCACATTCTCGTATCAATTTATTACAACATATCCGCATTTTCAAAGTCATCACTTTGAAAAGAACCCTTCAAAAAGCTCTAACTAGAATTACATTACTTGAATGCTACAAATCATCATGACACACAATTAAACCTTAATTTACTCCAATTAGACTTTAGCAGTTGAATTCTGTCTCTCCATAACGTCACTATAGGCGATGATTGCACTTGTCTGATCGATTGTAAATGCAATATTGGCATATAAATATATCATTATTTATATGCTCTCTCTGGGCCTACATAACTCAGGCTGTTCGTTACAAAAGTAGCAACGAACTGCCATTGGAGAGGTAGAATCAAAGTTGGGACCAAGTCAAGTGAAGGGTAGCACAGGGTCAATCAAAGAGTAGAAGTGAGCATGAAGATAGCGACCGATAACATGATCACCCTAAACTCATAAAATCAAATCAAACCCAAACAAAAGAGGACCACCAAGTAAAATATAGAAGGATCGAGCCACAAGGGATGAAACTGAGCGAGTAACATGGGGCTTGGAAGCAATGAAGCGATGATCCTCTGGATGCGGATGTGTTGCAGAGCTCGAAACTTCCCTGGCTCTCCACATCTAGCCCTATGGGCACGAAGGAACAGAGGAATATAAAAACGTGCTTTGTATATCAGATGCACATGCTGCGCAGCTCAGAAGGGTTTGCCCAAAAGCAGATAGAAATAGAAGACGGAAGGTTCTGAATTAAGAGTCAAAGTTGTTTAGGGTGCATGTTTACTCGGAGTCGTTGTGGTTGGTAAGTGCGTCTTTGCTCCCCTGGAGAGATCTGCAGTAGGTGTTTAGGGTTTATAATTATACGAGGCAGTTATTTATACGAGACATAAAGCTCCGGATCGATAAACAGAGACACTGTTATTGTTTCTTCGCACATGCACAAGATATTTTGTACATGTAAAGTGAATTGGGGCCTACATAATATTAAAAGTGATATGATTCCACACATCTTCGCTGTGATAGGTTTTGTACTGTGTTCATACTCTCGCTTCCGAGGTTCATCTGTAAGCGTGCGTCAAGCTCATTTGTTACGGCGAGTGATGGTTGATTGATTGAGAGCTCATTGGATTCATGGACACCACGCCATACATCTGGACTATCTTCACACAAAGCACAACTTTGCTCGGAACTGATCATTTAAGGCCCTGATGTCATTTCTTAGCCCGCTGTTATAACTAACCTGAAAGTCTTTCTCAAAATCCGCCAACTTCGGTAACAACTCTCTATCTGGAATCTGACATAGAAATACATTTGCAATTATATGTCGTCTCCTGCAGTCTCGTCGATCACTTGAGCAATATTGCATGTGCCGATAGGGCAGTCCCTTGATTTTTCTTGAAGTCCCCCTAATTATATCACTATCTGGAATCGTTTCATACTTGTGAAAAAAACATTTCCGTCCAAGTCCTTTGAGCTTTCTCGTATCTCTCCTCACTCTTGATGCCCTAATGTGGACAAAATTCTGACTTTCTCTATTCCATGTAATTAACGTTCGATTTGTCATCGTTAATGTAGGAGGAGAAGTGGATCGAATCAAGCACATAGTTCTGAGTCTAGAAGGAGTTTTTTCACATCATCAGTGAGGTTGGTGGGATCTCGTAGATAATCCACAGGGACAAGCGCAAAAGAGACGAGAGATTATCAGTCGTCCCTTTGGCGACAATCGTTCTCGCTCTGGACTGTTCTGCCCGATGCAGAAAGTACACTGACCGGATCTTTTGTGATATACTCATTAACCACCTGTATCAAGAATCTATGATATTCGTCAGACGTTAGCTCTTAGCATGAGAGAAAGCTATGCTCCGCCTTGACCTCACTTCACTTGGATATCATTTCTCGGTCCCACAGATCAAGACTTTGCAAAACATATCGTCCGGCGTAAGATGGTTCGGATGCGGTCAAACTAATGAGGAAGAAGGAAATGTTGTTCGCAATTAGGTTCTTTTGGGCATTACGAGGCCCCTTGACTCTGTAAGTTGTTCTACGTCCACCGGAGGCTGCGAGGTTCCGCTCAAAGGACATCATGGAACTTGTCGCTCTCGCTCCTGGACAACACGAAGATTGAAATCCCAAGCCCGGCGAAAGTAAGGGAATCTTCGATAGGAAAAATGTGAATAGTATTAAAATATGTTCGATCTCAGTGTCGAATGGAAAGTCATAAGGTAGCACAGCAGCTTTAATCTGCCATCTTCTGCTGAGCATATTACAATGCGGTTCACTTGCTGAAGAGGATTCGAAAGTCAACTCTTGTCAAGAGAGCAAGCGATACCTCAACTGGCATCTTCGTGTATCTTTCCAACATCAAAGCTCCAGAGAGGAATGCTCAACTCTCTGAAGATTGTGACAGTAAGACTTCTGAATGTCCTACTGCGGTTGATGAAAGTCGGCACACCGCCTCCGCCTCCTTGCAAACCAGGTGGGTGACGTAAGAAATTTGTGTCATTTGCCACCTTAATTGGATTGAGCATTCAGGATATAGCAGAACGGGACACGACCAATCAGATTGCGCGCGCCTCATCCCACGTATTTGCGATCTATCTGACTTCCGCGTCTCCGCCAGGGAATGCTCAGCACATTCACAGCTTGACGGGTATGATACTCATGGATCTTGCAAATTAGGGTTACGGATATTTCCAGTGACTGAAAAATGCCTCTGTGATCGGCTAAACCCAGCATGAGAAGACTAATTCTAGTGCAGAACTGTGCATTACCTACGGGGTGATTATTTGCCACTATGATTCTGTTATGGCCTGGCCACATCCTACCCCATTGCCATGTCCCCATTCTTTTTTCCTACCTTAATTACTCGCCTTTTCATGCATGTTTACATTCATTGAGAGTTTTCCTTTTGATTCTCTGTACAATGTCAAGAACAGTGCGAGCACGCAAAAACTGGTCCATGGCCGACAAAATGAGTTGCGTACGATTCTTATACCAACATGATTCTTGACAAGATCGTGGGCATGTTCGTCCAGAAAGAAACGTCGGATGTGGATATTACGTCCACGGAAACCGACGCTCTTTAACTGATCCTCTGATGAATCTTAAACTCTCTTTGCAAGATTTGGGCTGACACCTCGGTCGAATCTTCGGCAAACATATTTCAATTCATATATATTCTAAAAGCTGTGACATCATAGTTACACAAATCATAAAAAAACTCCCTTAAAAAAGCTCAAGTTTGGATGAAGCAAGTAACTTTGAATAGAACAGTTGCTGCAAATTCAATAAGCTTTTTAAGTTATCAGTTACAACAGACAAGGTCGTTGAGTAGGATGTACATGTCACTTCGTTTTCAAATCGGTGATGCTTACTGGCAATTTCGAGAACAGAGGGATGACACGTATCACAGACATAGACAGAGGATAAGGCAAGAACAGGATACACAGGAATAAGGGCATATCCGGTCAAGGTATTTATGAATGAGTCAAGTTTTTTGTCGAATAGCGTGGGCTAGAACAAGGGTGTGGGAGTTTTGGATTGCGACAATGCGTTTGGACGTTATTCATGAATTTTGAAACAGAAATAGTAAGAAGCTGGCGAGACGAGTATTCCTCTAAATGCAACAAATTGTTACATGCTCAAATTCACAAAAAAAACGTAAAACTTGGAAGCATTCCGCTACTAATTTACACGTCCTCCACCAAACAGCCGAGGTGCTGGGCCCGTAAAAAATAGAAGCCCAAGCTTCACCCCCCTTCTGGATCTTGACGAAGCTGTACAATTTTTAGCGATGTGGAAAAGCTCCGAAGTGCAACGTGTGGTGTATGCAATTTCCTGAGTTCCATAATTAACACTATGAATCTTCTTGTACATTTAAAGATGCCATAACCTCACTGACATCTTTCTGAGCCATGGGTTGGGGTTGAGAACAAGTGAGGCGCTGGTGAATACTTGAAAACTTCTCTTGAAGCATTTCAACCTGCCAGGTATAACATGCACGTTGTTAACAACAGCACTCAACAATGGTCAAAATTAATAACTCATCTACTTCGTACCCAAGATTCGAAACTGGTGATGAGGAAAGATTACGCAGAACTGCTGGGAAGATTCCCACTTACCCTTTTAAGTTCAAGCTCAAGATCACGACGACGCTGTTCTAAGCTGCGTCGGGCGTGTCCAACATTGAAGACATTGTCAATGTCTTCAACGAAAGCAGACTCCAAATCCTCTCTGAGTAGCGCTGGGAACTTATCCACGACTGGCATCAAAAAGAAGCAGTTGAACTGCCATACACAAAGGAAAATCGTCAGTAATGAGCACTTATGTAAACGGAAAATTACAAATTCGAAAACATGGCAAAGACGTTAGAGCAGATTATAGCTCTTGCATCGACATCAGATAATAGAAACAAAATTTATCCTGGGAGATCCTTCCAAGACACATTGTATTCTTGTCTTGTAAACAACGACAGACTTACTTTCAGCTCCGCAGCAGCCACGAAGTGATCCCGGATTCCTTCAAACAATTGCTGGACAAGGGCGTTCACGATCTCTTCGGACGTGGGTGCTAGTTTTCGATTCCAAAGAGTGCTTTCTAGTAAATCTACAAGTCGTGCTTGTGCCGTCTGACCACCCACTGCTCCTTCGGCAATGCCAGGTACCTTCCCATTTTCTACAGGTTGCTGACGAGCCTTATTGTTGTCCTGCTTGTTACTATTTCCTACAACCGTCACTGTGTTCTCCAAAAGTGTTGTTACCCCGGCAAATGACTGCTCACTAGTCGACAAATTGTCCAGGAATGACCTCAAAGCAGAACGGTGCTGAAACCCGCGGAAGACTCGTCAGTAAAAACGCAAACAAGATGTATCCAACTGGCCGAACAGATAGATAAGATCTATATCAAGAAGGTGAACCCCGATACCTTTGATGATATAGCAAAATAGCAGAGAGGAACCTTGAAGTATTCACGAATAAGACATACGAATATTTTGCCCCCATGCTGGCCAAATGATTAAACTTTCTTCAAAGCAGAATAACATATTCACATTCACAACTTTCATTATCCCACTCATGAGAACGGAATTCCCGGGATCAGAAGTCCATTTACAGAGGAGTAGTATTTACCTTGTTGTGTAAGGACCATGTAACGTAGCGTGTGGTGCTAATGAGGTCCTCCATGCATCTGGATGCATCCAACAGTATAAGAAAAACTCCTACAACTTTCAAAAAAACTTTTATAAATTAACCTTACATATGATATATTTATACATTTCTATTAAAAAATATATTCTAAACAAATGTATATTCTTAAACACCAGCTTGCAGCTTCAAGGAGTGAAGTTAAGCTAAAAACATACTTCTCTCGGCAGTTCCTCTCTGTTGATTCCACAAACATGTGAAAAGCCGTTGCAACTCGTTTCATGAACATATCATGACCACTTAAATATTCACCATCTTTCTGTCACAGAAATACAACAGGACCTGTTAACGAACCTACGGAGACCCTAATTCTTGATCTAACAAACACTCGGTATCTACTTGTAACATGAAACAAAGCTAAGAGATAGAGCTGAACATTATTCTACGGCGCATAATCCGTTTTCAAGAAGTGGACGTCATTAAGCTCACCTGTAAAAGGAAAAGAGCAATGGGAAGCAACCGACGAAGAATGTGCGAAAGTCGAAATCCCAGCTGCGAAAAGTAAAACAACCGTTGAGTTCAATTTCTGAAAGACAGACTCACCGAGGCGAAATAGCAAAATAACTTTCACATGTCCCGGGAATGGTACCAGAACCACGAAGTTTACTAACTTTGCAAACAACTGATAAAAACTGCCATATTGAATTCACATATTTCAATCGCGACAAACGTGTCCAGCTCTAGAAAACAAAGCAGTCAAAGCTATTCCATAAATTTGCCTACATATAGAGCTCTTTCTTTCGGAATTTGTTCCACCAAGGGTACTACGTAGAACATGGGTCGTATATTACTTGGTGCAGAAAAGGCTCAAATACGTCTCTCGCCTTAGAAACTGCGATAACACAAGCCGTTCTGCAAAATCAAATTACTCTCGTTAAAACAAATCAACCAATACACACAGTTTACATTACAAGCATCAAAGTGATCATCTACCGGATCGATTGCAAACATTCACTTGAAAAAATATAGAACTTCGTTCTATCCATTACACCAAAAAAATCACCTCTACAACTCTTTAGCTGAAATGAGAAGGCTTGATTGCTAAACTCAACAGGAATATTTGCTTCAAAGTTAACCAAAGTGTGAAGCTGCAAGAACCGATTACATGGCTAAAGAGAGAAGAAAAAATTTGTCACCTAAAGTAGTTTGTTCCATCATGTGTGTCTTCTACGCCACAAGCATTCACTATTTCTTCCCTACTAATAGAAGGACACTTCACCCCACCAACAACGAATCTGAACTCAGCCATGGCTCTGTGATATTGTGCACCGCCATAAAGCCGCATTCCAGCATTCTGACACACACAAATTACCAGTCAGGTTTGTGATAAAAAGATATTCAAAAAATTAGCTCGCTTCCAACAGAATTTAGCCTGCTTCAAAAACAATCCTCTGACTACTGACGATTAACATCTATACGGAGAAGATTGTGTTTCAGAGCGTGTTGAATTCTAACTGTAGGCCTTTCACATTGTGAGTCTCCCTGCCCCACATATATCCTCCTACAAAGATGCATATACTAGTTGTATCTTGCTCATTCCCTCATGCAACCTAAGCCTAGTATACACAAAGTGTCATAACGTGAGTGAAGGCCCACCGGTGTGTGCTTGGGCGCCATTTGCACACCATCTGGACCAGTAAAAGATCCCCCGTGAACTCGTTCATCCTGAAGAGCCTCCCCTGCATTGCATTGAGAACCTTAAGTCTAGGTAAAGTGATTCTAATTACGTGCACATAGAGATCTCGCCACCCACATCAACGCTTAATAGATTCTACTCTGCACTATGTTCAATAAACTGCATTTGCAAACGTTGAAAATCTTACCAAATTTCTCAGGTGGGGCAACGACCGTTCCTTTCAGCAAAAGAGAAAGCTGTCAAACAAATGGGCAAATGAGTCTTACTTTTCGAAGTATGTTTCAAGGTGTGGAAAGCTAAAATATGTAGAGACGCATGAAATACTTGAAGATCTAGCAACAGCATACAGTATGGCATGCATTGCAAATACTCTCTGCGTATTATAGGCCTAAGATAAGGCTAAATGGTGATAGTGATAGTCCACATTAAATATTGCAACCGTTTACGGACAACAGGAACAACGATAGATAACAACATTGATTGATTACATAAGACAAACTCATTGACAAGGAGCTTGAAAATGATCTCAATCGCTACTTAGCATCAAACAAACGACTGTAATCATTACAAAAGAGGAACTCTTTAAAGCGAACCTTCGATAAAAAGGAATCCCTAAATAGTCTACCACGCTCTTTCAGTTTCGCTTCATTCAGATTCCTGCAAACAATGTGGAAATCATGAGTCAAACTTTTTAATAATGATTCAGAAACTATATGATAATAACGCAACACCAGTCCTACACATTCCTAAGAGTGATAATAAATTTTCACTAGAGGCTCCCAACCGAGTCTACGGTAGATGACATGACAGGGTGCGAAAAGTCCGAAGCACGCATTAAGATTAAAACTCACGCTAGGTCCTGACTGGTCTGTTGCAACTTCGAAGCTGTAAAACGGTACTCCTTGTCTAGCAGTGGGACGATGATTGGGACACTGTCCATGTACCTTCACGCCCCCAAAAATACGGACAAACATGTTAGGAAAACTCAGCGCCATATCATAGCTGAAGCCAAAACTTACATTGTCAATCTGAACTAAATGAAATTTAATTTGATGTACATCTCCAGAATGTCAAAAGATACCACACGAGTTTTCAATATCGAGAAAGTTACCGACGCTGCAAAAGCTGTTCTAAGAAACATCGTAGACGACTGATACCGACACGGTTGCGCTCTTCTTTTAGAAGAGGCCTGTCCATCTTCTCCTCAAGCATTGCTACATCCAAAGCCTCGCGCATTGCTACAGCCTACAAGACAAACATACCACCCACGTTAACACTCTCTTACTTTATGTACGACCAAAAAAATCTGCAAGCATTGAAAGCTTGGCCCACTGACAATAAGTAAAAAGTTCGTTGCTTACCTCTCGGAAAGACTCATTGGTTCTATATACAGAATCTCGTCCGCTACCAACTCTTCCTGATGGGACAGAAGTGAAGAATGGTGTATCCCCCAGGATGTTTCCATCGAGCAGTCTCGAAGGTGGCCTTAGGAAAAGTTCGACATCTGCTGGACGTGCAAATTGTGGAATTCGAGTGTCCAGTTTCGTTGACACGATGACTGTCCTTGTGAGCTCTGGATCCATCTATGAAGTAGCTTCAGACAATTACTCAGTCGTCCAGAACAGATTTGAGGGTGTAGGATAGCGTCGATTTCTCAAATCTTCAACTCGCAGAACCTGTTTAGAATAAACAAGTCGTAACAGCACGAACGGTAAATGAGAACCGTGGAAGATGCATGGAAGACCTACCTGCATGACAAACCTCCTAGTTGTAGCATTGGTCCAATCGCTGCAATCTTCAAGGCAGAGAATGATAAACTCTTTCTGCTGCATCTTACTGCGTACAAGTGCCTCCACGGCTCGTGCTTGCGACTGCATAGATCCAGTTTTAAACGTAGATATTAGATGGTAGACACAACTAAAACACGAATGATATGGATACAGACGTGTATATCACAGGACATCACCACTTGAGAAGTCCCATCGCTCTAAGTACGATCACACAGGTGGCATCAATTATCAGCATTCATGGTTGCTCCATATCTACGACGGAATTTTGAGTTCTCTGCACTCCAAAACCTATTCAATATGCCTGTTCATCATCCGGCAGTGGAATTCAGTAACCACCTGTAGGGAGATGTTCTTTCGGCCAGGTGCTGCAGAAATAAGTCCCGGTGTGTCGATAATCGTCAAATTTGGGCAGAATTTGTATTCAATCTTCACAACGATCTCCTTGGCCCAAAACTGAGACGGTTCAAGCTCCAATCTCATATTTTCTGATTCAATGTAAGCCTGGAAAAGGTGGTTCAAAAGGACTTTGTGAGATATCTCAAACACAACTCTGTGATAGAAATGCACGCATGATTCCTTCGACTTCAAACCCAATTTCCAGACCAGATCTCATTACTTTACAAAGGGCAATTTATGTGGCAACTGAGAGGTCACATCTGTGGCAGATGTGTTACTATGCACATAAACTTGAATGATGAACCACTAATCCGGAAAATGGTACAGCCAACCAGGACGCTACGATGGTCTTAGCGCGGAGACAGTAGATACTCAGAGAGATACTCGATGTCATGGAGCCACTTGCCAGCACCTACCTGAAGATCGTCCAGACTTTTCTCCTCTTCCTTCGGTGGAGCGTCCTCTGACAGCAGGAAACATCTCGGTTCGGTACACTCTGCATTATATGTCATGTGTAAAGTTATGGGTCTTCGAGTTTTGGTTCCACCTCCGACATGATTGAACTGGAAGCCCATAAGAGCTTCGACTAGAGCACTTTTGCCGTCTGTTTGATGCCCCACAACTAAAATTGCGGGTGCGTCGAAAGGTTTGTGAAAATCCTGTGCCAGACTATGAAGTTCATTGTAAGCTTCATACAGCTTCTCATTACCAGAAGCGAGAAACCTGTGTGGAGAGGCTGACAAATCTCTTGTAATGTCTTTACTGTGCTCCTTTGAGCTAGACTGGGACCTGTCCGGATGGTTGATCCGGAAAAGACCGTGGCCTGTGTTCCTGACTGCTGAATTCGATCCATTCGCACAAGACGAGTTCTGAGGCTGGTAGTAGTAACCTAAATTGAGTGACGGAATGTGCCCTGCATAGCCCGAAGGATGAGAGTACGTAAGGCTAGATTCGGCGGTATAGGAGGATAATCCAGCAGGAGGAGTTGGATACTGAGCTGTGTGAGCGGAGTACGGGTGCGAATAACCACCCTCGAGTGCCGGCGGCCCAAAATTATAAGAAGCACTAGCTGCAGCGTGTAAGGAGGCAGACGGGGAGGTCACATTTCCACCCCAGGATCCAGCTCTGGGTGACGAGGCATTGGAATGCCTCGGAGAATTACTTGGAGAAAAACTGTTGGGCTGTCCAGCCTGGGCTGCAATCCATCTCTCGGCTACTCCGGCTCTTGTTTCCGTCACTCCATTCCCCGGTGCGCTCATAATCGCTCACTTCTTCACAGCTCGGGAATTGCCCTTTAGAAAAGAATTCCAAATTCCTCAGGAAAGTGAAAAAGCAAACCCGCAACAATGTAGCTTCAAAACGATCTGATCCAGTCCAAACTCATCCCCTGTGCTCCAGCACGAAAAGCACGCATCTACCTTTCCGGCGGTTCCCCTGAGCAAAATTCCTCACCTGACCTCTAAAGTCACAACCCGCAAGCCTGCGCTGCCATCATCCCACAACTCCGAAAGCTAACCCTGCATTCCCGCATTCTCCAGCTACGGAAACAATCAAACCGACAAGCGACTGTGTTCACAATCTGCGCATTCCACTGAAAGCTCCTCGAAGCCCTGGCAAAGACAACAGAAAGGCAGGCGGCGATCCGAGACGCCAACCTCCCAGCCAGCAGCACTCGACCCACGCCACTGGCTCTATCGCAATTGACGATGCTTCGGCAGAGGACATGAAATTCCTTCGAGAGTCCTTCGAGACCTCGACGCCGAATCTGATGTCCCGAGGCGGAATCAAAACCCTCACGCGCGTGGATTCGAATTCCTCCTCGCTTTCTGATCCGCAGTGCTCCGAGTTCTCTTCGCCTCCTGATTCTGCCGAGCGCGCTCCCACTGGTCGGAGCAACTGCGCCGGGTCCACTGTGGTTGGCGCCACTTTCGCACTCCCGCCTTTCCTCGACCTACCATGGTCCCGCCGCAAAGTCTGAACCGTATGTATGCTCTACTAGACGTACGCGTTGGAATGTTCCGTATGTATCTCTCGACGCATTGAATGTACGTAGTCAACTCCTTCCGTCACCTTCCAAGTTGTGGAAGGAAGTAATAGTACAGGAATAAACAAGTACATGTCCCTTCCCTTACGTAGTATCCCTTGTTGAGGGATGAACATGTTTTCATAGCTTCTTCACTTATCTCAATATGGATGTACCAAGATATGACTTACCCTAAGTGTTCTAGAATATATACCCATTGCCCGTCAAACAACCACTGTACTGTATGTATTTCTGCTGTGAGTGAGATCCACTAAACCCTGAGAATCTCTTGATCCAGATCTCTTGATCTAGAAGTGTTGGTTCATGGAGGTAAATTGTATGTGTGTGTGTGTGTTAATTGCTAGGAAAGAAGAATGAGTGACAAGGATTTGTTGTGACTTCAAGATTAAACCTTCTTTTTTATTACAAGGAAAGTGGTTTACTAAATGTTACCTACATATGCTAATATTTAACATTAATCCAAGATGATAACAAATGCTTAAAGAGAGAATCAATATATCAATCAAATAACTGAAATTGTCATCTAATATCAAAGTCTATTATCAATCTCACTTCTACATCAAAGTCCCATAAAATTTTTCTTAAGTGCACTCGTTCATGCTACATATTAAAAACTCCTTAGTCAATCAAATATATTTAAATCGTTATCTTTTATGTTGATAATTAAATCTCACATTTGACTCAAAGTCACATCAAGATTAATCTACATGCAAATGTTCATTCCACACATTCAAACCTCCTGAATGATAAAATGTCATCAAATCAATTCATGATTTTGTTTTCAAAGTTCTTAGGTTTCATACAAATGCAGGTGAAGGAGAAAATATGCATACCATGCAGATAGATGCATGAACGATATTGGGTAAAATATGTTGAAGGTTAATTGTGAATTTACTTGTTGTGGAGTAAAATCCTTGACATGCAATAATATCTTATCAACCCTAGTATCCATATAGCGCAATATGCAATCCTTGCGCTCCATATTATAGAATACAACATCGTTCTCTTGTTGTAGAGTAATGTCGTCAACATGCAAAACATTTTTGTAGCGAATGCATTGTCTATGTAAGGCGAAATAAAATTTGAGCCATCCTCATACTACAAATGCAATCAATTAGTTTTTTTGGGATTTTTGTCATCAACGTTTATTTCTTTTTAAACTATTAATATATAATTTGAGATAATAATCTTGTAAATTAAATTAGATAATGTTAATAAATTTTTTTAATCATATATTAATTGCAAGATAATTGAATATTGAAAAAATCAACCTTTCTAAATTCAAAAAACAGAAATGCATATGAAAAATAATCAAAATTCATAACAAAATCTATCTGGACAAATATATGATTAGGATGTATATTTATAAATTATTAAGATTAAAAAATATTGCATCATATTTTTATTTATTTATGAGCAATCATTAACAAACATAGTCTCTTGTAATAAAAAGTATGTTTAAGGATAATAACACTTAATGACTGTGATAATATTTCCCATAGTTATTCTTTTCTTTACATTATATAATTTTTATTAACACAATCTATCTTACAGTTATAAATCTAGTTTATTGACTTTTTTTTCATGATATTGGGGATATCCGGGATATCTTCAAAATTGCAAAATTGTAATCTACCTACAAGAATATGTTAAATTTTATTAAGTGTTTATAAAATGACATATCTAAACCATTTTTTTATATGCATTGAGACATCTAAAGCCAACTTTTTATATTTTATAAATTCACGATTTTATCAAAACATAATGGCGTATCTTGTTTGTAATACAATATTTTCAATTATATTTTCTTCTTCATATAATGCTATATCTATGAATAGTAAAGAAAAGTTGTAAAGTTAACACTAGTCACACATAAAATAATTATGATATTTTCAGTTTGCATTGTTCTTCAACCTGATTCAAGATATTTCATCGTATTATTTAGAGTAAAATCTGAAGCATCGTATGATCGGAGTTTTATATTACTGCATAATATAGTAGGAATGAACTCTTCCTACTATATTATGCAGTAACTGCTTTTTGACTTTAGAATCTAAGCATTGAACTTCCTGCGGAACATATTATGCAATTCAAGCACACGTCTTATATCATATACACAATTCTGAAAGCAAAAGAATGATTGATGCTAATTCATCCATAAGATGATGTGACAACCAATCAAGCAGACAATTTGTTTAGTTTCCTTATGAATTTGACAAACAAAAAAGTGATGAATATGAAAAAACCCTTCAATATCATTTCAATATTATGTTAATCACTTTTACATTTTGATTTATATGACTTGATCGGCAAACTGACAGATCTTGTGTTATCATCTGCGTCATGTGCACATCCAAAGTGTTCTATCTACCTTTCTTTTCCAAGTGGGTCAAATAGAACCAAGTGAACAAAAGAAATTTACCAAAAAATAATTCTTGCAATTGATATCCATCATTTGCATGACAGATTTAAGAAAAGCCCTCCAACCCAAAAAAAAACTGACGATTATATATCTAAACAGTTGTATAAATTGATGACCGTCTATACCACTTTCCATGATGTTTTTACTTAGATAACAATGGAAATGAAGTTTGTTTAAAAAGGAAAATGGAATATCCAGTATGAATTTACGGTAGTGAGGAAAAGCATAACCTCGCAATCTTCGACAAAATTTCTCTCCTCCTTTTAACGTACTCTCCCCTCTCTTCTTTCTCATCATGTAGGACTTTGTACTTAGTGTCAGATGGGTGTAAGTTACTCTTACAAATAATGGAATCTAGAGTCTTAATAGTTGGCAACAAGACTGCGACCAAGGGCCTCGCAAGACATCCGTTGTCATAAGATATTCACATCATAATAAGGTTTTGAGTCAATTTCTGACTTGCAAAGAAATGATTCAACTTTAAACGTGACTGCATCCACCCAAATTATGTTTGCATTTCCCGCCTGAACCACTTGTACCCACAACATACGTGACATTATGGCACGATAACACGGTATGATAATCTCATGCTCACAAAGAACCTACCGATAGCAGCCGATAGCTATGACATTGTGGCAGAAATACTAGTTTTTTCCTTCCTTACATGGTCCGCGTGTACCTACAGTGGGTTTGGACCACCTACAACCACGCAAGTTTTTGTGTTGTGGTACATAGACAATTTTTTTCATCCTGACACAACAGACATATACCCACAAAGCCACAAATTCCCTTCTTAATGTAAGAGTCACCTGTAATAACAACGGCCATGAAATATGGCAAAAACACAAGGTTTCCATTACCGCCATGGTTAATTATAGCACTGTGGTTTTGACATAATCCCACAAGTACAAACTTTATTCATTCTTATATGATCCACACTGGTTGTGTGGCTCGAATTAAGGGTAACGATAGTACCCACCTGTACTCCAGAACATCAGTTTGGTATCCATCCGTAATTACCACAGGTATGTCACACATAACTTTCCCCCAAATTACCTTTTGATCCATCTACAGTCATTGACAAAATTAGAAGGTTTCAAAAATTATGAGAAGTTTTACAAATGTTTGTTGACATATATAACTAATAAACTCAAATTTATCTAATTTGTATAGTTGATATGAAGACTGAGATTTCTGTTCAATGCAATCGAATTTGATTTTAAATTGAATTTTCAAATATGTAGATTTTTAAAATTGTAAGTATGAACTAGTATTTTTCTGTTTCATTTTGCTATATATATATATATATATTTATTTATATTTATATTTAATAAAATTAAATTCAAATCATGATAAACCTGTATATTGAGGTATTTTTGCGTGAAATGAAATGTTAGAAAATTATTTTTTTTATGGAAAATTGATATTTTTTGCATGATTATACATTATTATAAAAAGGTAATATAATTGCTGAAGATTTTGCTAAATATGATAATTTAGCGATAAAAGAATTTACAAAAAATTTCTCATTTGATATATATGTATATTCTGGTTATTAAATATAAATATAAAAATATATGTATATATAAGTCACTTTTAAAAAAAATCAAATTAATTGATTGAACAAAATACGTGGAAGATTAAGTAAACCATTATTGAACATGAAAATTTTTAAAATAATATCTTAAATTTTTTGGAAAAATAATAATAAGAATTTTTGCAATGTTCAAGATTACATAATTTAAAATTAATTTCATATATTCTTTAATTTTTTTAAAAATAATGTATGTTATATAAAAAAAATTTCAGTAAATTTCTTATATTGTAAACAATGTGTTATTTTCATAACTATATAATCTACATGTGATATGCAATTTAAAAATATCACCAAAAATTTTGAAACTTGAGAAGCATATAAATTTTTTTTAAATTTTAAGTTCAAATTCATAAATTTTCATGAAAATATTCCAAAAAGAAAAATTAAGAGCCAAAAATCCTGAAAAAGTACATATTTTCACTATATGGTAAAGTAATTAATTATATTTTAAATGAAGATATAGTTTTTGAATGTCGTTAAAAAAAAACTTGTTGTGAATTCAAACTTTTACTTCTATATTATTTTTAACAAATTATGAGAAAGCATATCTGGATTAATGTTTATTGTAGAAAATCAAATTTTTAGTATAATATATTAAATATTGATATGTTTTTTACTAGAACAAAAATATTATGTATTAAATTAATAATATAAAGTATATAATTTTATAACTTATAATTCAAATTTTTCAGAAATTCAAAACTAAACAAATCCATGATACCTGAATATTATTTTCAATTTATTAATTTTTTACAAATCAAATATGTAAAATTTACAATTATTTTTGTGATGTCATTTTCAAATCAATTCCTATTCATAATCTAATAAGATACGTTATCAACTGTCTTATAAAATTATTCAAGTAATTATTTGGTATTAAGAATAATGGTAAATAGTTAAATCATCAAATTGAATTTGATCCTGCAGAGTATAGTAGTTTGTTCTTTATAATACTTAGCTTTTAAAAGTATTCCAAGATGAATTGCGTTAAAAAATATTATTGAATTAACATGCAATACATGAGTATATGCATAAATATGTAGTTAAATATTATAAAGGAGGTTACATATATTGCATTTTTTTAAAAAAAATTTCTTAAGTAATAATCATTTGATTTTATTGTTTTTCTTTTACATTTGAGATAAAATAAAATAAAGCTCAAATAAAATATTGTATTCAGCTTTATGTTTTGTGATAAAATTAAACATACTTAGCTCAACTTTAGTTCGATTGAATCGTATCAAAAATGATCACCGCAAATGAGAATGTGACGACAAAGTAAATAAATTATTTTCAAATTTTGATTTTTTCTATATTTTAAATGATGATGCTTCTATATTTCTATGTCTTTAAAAATCTTAAAAATTTAGGTATCCTTCATTTTGCAAGAAATAATATGAATGTATTCCAAATTATGTTTTTTCATATCATATATGTTGTATAAAATATATTTTGAGGTCAATTTTGGAAAAATAAAATATTCCTGTGAACTTTAATGATTCTGTTATTGTTTCATATCAAATCTTTGATTATTGTGAGATCACAGTGACGATTGTAAAACTTGTTCATTACATCATAAATAAATTGATATAATTTTATATGTCACGTTATATTGATGAAGAAGTTGTATCTCGAATAATGGTTAGAATTTCATTCATATTGAACTCACTCATGCATAAAATTATGTATTAAGGGCAGTTGTTTTTTATGTATACATAACTTGATGTATATATAACTTGTAACATTTGTAATATATATCAACTTTTGAAATGATTAAAGTTTTAATTAGGTTTAATTTTTTATTACTTTGTTATTGTGTACCTAAAGAAAAAATTGATCTTTATCAATATATCAGATCTTATTTTGATAAAAAAAATTGATATATGATAAATTTTAAGCAATTTTTTATTTATATTTAAATTACACACATAGTATATGATTTTTATAATTTACGTGATGATTGTTACGTGTGAGATGTAATTTTTTTAAAAAATTTTGAAGACTCTCGAATTTTTGTCAGTTGGAAAGAAACATAAGATCAAATTAATATTCAAATTTTTACAAAACATGAACATTCCATAAATAATGATGCCGGATATATATATATATATATATATATATATATATAATTTTTTAGTATGAAAAAACATTGGAGCCGAGCATGCAATTATGCAATCATTATTTGTTTAAAAACAGTCTTCTTAAATTTTGATGCTGATTGATATTTGATGTAATTTGTCATTATGCAAAAAATGTTCTGCAAACTTTGCAAATCAGAAGATTAAATTCTTTTCAATAGATTTTGCATTCACATGTTTATCTCACATGATAAATCATAATATATGAAAAATTGATATTTTTGAAGAATTTTTTAGCAAAATTTCTGTTTCGTTATTAAATTTTGTTTGAATTAATTTTTTTTCTAAATTTTAACGTATTTGATTATCATTTTATACAACTATCTATAAATATTTGATTAAAGTTAAACTAAAATCATTAGACTATCATCGCTTTGAATTCTTTGTGTGAAATGCATATACTTTTATTTCTAGAAAATATTTATTATTATATTATAGATTGGAAAATCATTCTTGCATTGTTATGAATTTATCTGAAGTGTAAGTTGATTTCAAGTTTGAAAAGAAATTGATCTTTATATCAAAGTCATCAAATGAGAAAAAGTAAGCTCAAGATTGTGATACTAGAAAAAAAATCTACTCTTGTTTAATGAGTATTTTCTTATCATTATTTATTCTTGTATGAAATAATTTTATTGGGATGATTAAAATTTCATCATGATTGATATGTTTGCTATAGTAAAATCAAGCCTTGAAAACATTCATCTTTAGGAATCTCACATAATTGATCATCAAAATAGAAATCAAAATCTAAGTAAAAAAAAAGAGAGATAAATTGAGTACTTTATTTACAATAAGTTATATAATGATGTAAACAAATATATCCAATATTAGCAAAGATATGCTACATAATAATATATTTTTCAACATACAAAGATTTTATAAGCAGTATAATGATGTATGTCACATAAATCATCAATTTTGTGATTTACTATACAATAAGCACTTAAACTAGTTTAAAATCTTATGATTATTCTTTGCTTGTGCAAGTGTTTCAGATTTTACAGTTCCATCTCTATATGTGTTTACAAATCTGTAAATCTAATATTATTACAGATGAGCATGGAATTTAAATTCAAAACTTTGCTTCGTTCTGATCTTCTTGACTCAAGTTGTAAAGTCAATTATCTGAGCTATCAAGGAAATCATTTAGACGCAATAAAAATAATCGCAAGTTAAGCAGTGACCTGCTCCGCGGTATAGATACCTAGTGCTCATAGGGCGTATCCTGCACCGAAATTTCATCAATTTCTTGATTATCTTTGCCGAATCCCTTTTCAAAGTTGGTTTTATAAGTGTCAAGGAGAAATTTTTTTGACAACAAAAAGGCACAAAATCTACTTAAGATAATTTTGTGTACAAATCATATAATCAAAATCATTCGTATACTGATCCCACTAAATTATAATAATTCTCGGATTTCTATCATATGTTCTGACAAATCCATCGGACCTTAGCTGTTTTCTCCTATGTCTTCTCTAATTTCACTTAAATTTGTAAGTTTTCCGGGTTTTCTTCATTTCACGGTCTTAGCTGTGTTTATTCTTTGCAATCGTTTCTTCGTTATATTCCATGGTCACAAGTTGTCACTGTTGGTACGTGGGGTCTCTTTCTATTCTAGAACTCCATGTACGCCAATTATTGAAGGGTCAAAACCCGCAGACATTTTCTACATCAGATATCACGGTCTTTTTCCAAGTCACTTTTTGATGTAAAAAATGGTTCAAAAACCTGAAAATAGCCGGCCCTAAATAGTAGAATTAACATCCTGCACATCAAAATCCAAGAGTCTTGAAGCAGTAAGGATATTTTTCGAAGCATTTTGTGTCATCAGAAGCAATGATGAACCCTGACGCCACCATCCCTCTCGATCCAGTGACACGCGGTACGGTATGTAGTGATGAAATGAGCGTCAGTCGGTGATGAGCAGTATGTAAATTGGGATATCACATAGAATATCTTGCGTACTGAATGTGCTGGGTATTCCTCCATGTAGGAATAAGTTCTGCTAATGAAAAAGATGTCCTTCCATGAATTCTGAAGTCAACTCTGGGAAACGCCAGTCTCATTTCCAGCATATATTGTTGATTGGAATTGGCTTTAGTATATTCATTAGTTGATTGTAAAGGTGAAATATGGTATTCACAAGTGGAACCTCGACTCACTCTAAACCTTGTCAAGATTATCCATATGTGATTTTACCGCATCTCCAGTTTTCGCTTTTCGACGTGCGAGGTGTTTTCAATTCACATGCATTCAGTCATTTGGATACCACGTGTACAGGAAATGGGTGAGAAGAAGGGGGACAGGCAAAGTCGTAGCGCATATTAAGTTTCTCACATGGACCTAACCTGTCACTTTCTGTCATTCGTCTTATTTTCGCAACTACTTAGAGATATACTACCGATACACATGTGGTTGTGGACTCTTAGGCATGACACACCACAATCAGTTCATGCACTATGTATAACAGGTTGTTTACAGATTATTTGTAGAAGAATCTGACGTTGTTCCTTGAAGAGACATGTTGTGAATATACTCAAGATTTCCATAGGGCACATGCGCGACGAGAACTACGAACATATGGGAAACTCGTTACATTTAACGATGCAAGAAACAGGTAGGATTGTTGCTGCTGGTCGCCCTTTCAACATAGTGACAGCCAGGCAATTCCTCTCCAAAATGCTGAAAGTTGGACCCGGAAATTGAGAACCTGGAGAAACTTCCCATTGAGGACCTGACATTGTATCTCGATGCTCGGATCATGAAATATATAATGTCTATTGGCCTTCGGACTGAAGGTCCATCCCTTGCCTTCTAACATTTATTCTAGCAGTGTCCAATCTTGTCTACGTCATGATGCTACGTCAGTTAGTGGCACTGTGGGGTATAATGTGTTTATGAGTACGGTGGCCCCTAAACCTGCAGTACAGCGCCCTTGGGCAGGATCAGTACTGAGATGGATAGTGTCCCACTATAACCGGAGAAAGGGAGAAAAACGGATAGAAAAGTGACAACAGACTTGGCTCGGAAACAAATTAAATTAGATATACAATACTTTTCTCTAAATTGTTTCATCTGGGAAAGAGCAAACGAATGTGGAGGTGGAAGCGACTGAGAGATAATGGTTGCTTGCCTCGGTTTCTATGACAAGATGTTGCGGGCTCCGTTATTTTGCAATTAATGAATTGTACGTTACTTGTAACCAAGTCACCTGACCTGTCCTGGGGACGGATTTCTACGGTGGTATGCCAAAATCTTCCTGTGCATATCGAATTTGGCGAAAATTGTGAATATCCTCACGAGTGGGTAAGTAAGAAGCTCCTGAGCTGTCTTAAACATCGATTCGTCGGGAATGAAGCCCCTGGCCATCATCAACAAGGCCGATCCAAGAATAGGAGTAGTCGTCACTGTAGGAGATCCATACTTAACTGCTTCAAGTGTCCGTCTCGCTACTTCGTCTGGACTCTGGGCTTGCTTCCGATCATACATGTTGATATCCTTCATCAAGATCTGGAGCTCGTCTCTCCTCTCAGCTATGACATGCATTCCGAGGCGTGAAACTGTTAGGCCTGGTCAGAAATGACGAACTCAACTGCTGAGTTCAGATTAAATGAACTAAATAACAAAATCTTCTGTGAATATGGCATTGACCTGCGAAATGATGTCATTGTACATACTCCGATGTGGTTTTCTTCCTTTTTTTAATCAGTTTCAACTATGTCAACCATAGCTGACAGTTTATGTTGTTGAAGATACAGTCTACGTTCATAAGATTTTTTCGGTAGTCGATTCTAACTTCCAAGCAACTCCCAATCCCCACAACAAACTGACATCTTCAATTTGAAGAAATACAAAGTCATGGCAAGAATTTGTATAGCAAGCTTGCATGAATTGTGGTGAAGTGGCTTACCCTCGTCTAAGAATGCTGTTTGCACAAACCCTGGGCAAATCATGGAGATGCGGATACTGTAGGGGAGCAACTCCAACCTTAAACTCTCTGCCATGCCTTTTAATGCGTACTTGGTCCCAGTATAGACACTATTACCGTACATCAGAAACTGCACAAAAACTAGAATGACTTAGTACCGGTATAATGACCCATATAAATCCACCAAGTCACAAACGATTTACTGTCAGAAACTCCCCCTTAAAAAACCCACACAATTTATCATCAAGTTCGACGATGACAATTTGAAGCTAGATAACTCTACAAACAGATCAACTCGTGCCTGCAGAGAGGCAATGAAGTGTAAGCTTAGTCTGCAAGTGGTGACCATAAGCAGGGTAAAATCAACAAAGGTCAAGAAACTAAACCGTAATATATGAGGCATATAAATCTCGTTTTTAAATAGTTACTACGTTATCATGTGAAGCTTTACAACAGGTCCATCTGACCAGTCGAAGGGCGTTAGAAATTTCACGATACCACGGGACCTACGTTGAATCTGAATGATTCGCAGCAGATCAGCTGATTTGTCCTAGGTAAGCACTTGGTTGGGGCAGCAGTTACAATAGGGATTATAAAGGGCATATCTTCTGCGTAGTGTTCTAGTGCAGGGAAAACCATCTGAGCAAAACTCAGTAAACGTTTGAACTGGCGATTAGTGGTGACATTCACCCTGATAGACAGAAAACGTGGGATTCAAGTATTCAAGCAATCTTGTCATCGATGTCAAAATTACCATCGGCAGACATTAGATCTGCACGCTAACGATATATCCTATGCTGGCTTCGAATTCTTAACTCTATCTTCAGACGCTAGTTCTAGTTTGGAACCATCAGCACAAATAGTACTAGGTTAGGCCTCAGATGTGGACGTCGTTGAGCAATTCACCTGTAAACGATTAATATGGTCCAACACAATTTAACGTCCATCTGGCCAGTTAAGAAACTAAACCAAAACCTTACGTAATTACTACCAATGACGTGCCAAAAACAGTCCCTAGAAGGTGTTCCTAGTATTAGAAATGTCCTAAATTTGTTCAGAACCATATCTATCCGCATAAGGAACGTGAACTGTCATACGGAGAAGAAGTCTTGCCTTAATCATCAAAGAGTTAATTATTCAAGATGTCTCCAAGTTGACGTAGTATCATGTAAATATTGCTTCTAGTATACCAAGATTGATGTTTTTACTGTTTGTGAGAACAAGCACTCCGACTACAAATCTCATTGGGAGCTGAGAAGAGCTTAAGAATAATTTTGGAAATTGTATATAGCATCACATGCTTATGACATATCACATGGCAGTCATAATCGGATCATAACGAATTCATCATGATTCTGATTCTCGGTTTCAAGAGCCGGTACAAGCTACGTCAACTTCAGACCCACATTATTATGTACTTGACTATGTAAGCGATGTATATTGTTTCAAGTTCGGAGCCCGTACCAATGTGTCAACCTCGTTTCCGACCAGCAACTGCTCGATGAGGAAGGACGGTAACTTTCCAGTATGTACGTCAATCTACGCTAAGTGCTTCGAAAGACTCAAAAACTCGTGTCTGTGGATTTGCCTTCTGAAGCTCGGCCAATCTCGAAGTCTTAGTAACCGTCTACTGAAAAATGGACATGTCATGTCAGAACCGCCGTACTAAATATAGCACCGCAGCACTAACGTGACATGGAGCTGCATAAAGTTTACAACTGGACTAAGATTATAGATTAGGAGTATTATTAGTACACGTGAACTTGCCGCCAGCAAACCCTACCTAATTTGTGAGGAGTAATCTCGAGGACCAATCTTCAGCAATTCGGGGCTCAATACCAGCAGTTACACAAGGATGTTTAGAAACTCAATTCAGATGACGATATTCTGCAGAAATAGCTCTCTAATTTCCGCCAAAACAGATCGATCACTAATCGATTTAAAAACCAGGATATATTAGAACTGCAGGTCCAACATGAAGACGTACTTGGATGGGGATAAAAATCAGTGAGATCAATGTTGTGATGAATGATTGTTCTGGATGTAAACCTAAGTTTCCTTATCATCCCTGAAAATTGGCATCAATTTACATTCAATACTCTCTAAACGACTAACAGAAACGAGTGAAGAATATCTGACAGATACTGATTGCACTCAAATACTGTCAGTTTCTCTGAACCAGACTCATTCGGGGCGACAGGTGTGTTCAGAGAGAGCATACTCTAAATAACGTGGATGAGGCACCTTACCAGAGAAGCCAGAGAACCAATGAAGACGATCGACATGGGGTGGTCGGGGCTCCGCTGCTTCATCAGAGGAAGAGCTGTGTGCACAGGGTACACAGTCCCCATAATATTGGTTCGAACTGTAAGTTCCAGGTCCTCGATGGGCATTTGATCCAGGTAACCGCTCCGAGTTAACCCAGCGTTACATACTAAAACGTCGATTGGTTTCCATGCAAATGATTCGCTGATTGCTTGGGACATTAACTTGTAATCTCCCGCATCAACTGCCTGCATGATAAGTTGCATAGCACGGTGCAAAGCTTAGAATGCGAGGAAGCGCAAGAAAAGAGAAATACCTGCAAAATTATACGTCGCGTGAAGACAATAGCGAACCCGACAAGCCAGTGTTGCATCCTAAACACAGGTGCGAAACGGAAGAAATCTGATGGATCACAGGTTCTAAGGCCTACAACTTCCTCTTGCATACGCACTGAACTATTTACAAGTTGTTACTAAAGGTAGGACTTATATAAAAGGCCGAAAGTAGTATGCCTCCGTTCCGTCAACGAGTTGTTTACCGAGCTTGACAATCTGGTTTTGTATACTTGTAGAGTTCATTCATCAAGAAACTGTAGCCACGAGGTAACCTGTGTGATTCGCTTACTTTACATAAAGAAAAAGCATGTAGCGAAGGCGTAAGCGAGTCTGGCGAAGCAAGGTGTAGATTTCACATTCCCGTCCAGGCCAGATAAACGTGAGGAAGAGACCAGAGAAATAGGACTTACGTACCTTGATACGCACTCTTGTTGCACCGTCACCAATTTCTTCCAAGAGGGAATCCTGAGCCTTTTGGAGATTGCTTAAACTTCTCCCTGTCACAGTCACGTAAGCCCCCTGTAACAGAGCGCGTTTTGCAATAGCATAGCCGATTCCAGTAGAACCACCAGTGATGAAGACATGCTTGCCTTCCAACGACGGTAGGAATGGAGTTCTACGCCAGAGATACCCGACCAGCATGACAGCAGAACCAACCAGAAGGGTTCCAGACACGAACTCCATCGGAATGACAAGATCCACCGCAGTCAGGACCTCTTATCCGAGCGTTCCCACCCGCAATTCTAAGTTCACGCCGAGCTACAATTAACAAAATTTAAAGAAAACCGTATTAGCACGGACGTACGTCAAAACGGCGACTGTCAACATCACATATGATCAACGCCATCTCGTTCTGCCATAGCAACGCGAAGCAGCCACACACACCAGGACCAACAACAACAAGCAGCAGCGGGTCGTCGCTCGCTCCGAAATTCGACCGAACCGCAATTTCTGGCGACGTCACCCGGCAGCAAATTCACCCAACCAGCTGCAGACGGCACGGACTCACGGTCGTCTTATGAGGCCCGGAACAGCAGAAAAGAAAAGCTCGTGAGCACCGAAGCGCCGACAGCGAAGAGAAGCAGGAGAAGGCGAGTCCAGCCTCAGCGAGAGAAATGGTCTGTCGCCGGCAGCGGGCGCATCCTCGAGCGCCCCGACTCGCGATTCAGCCGGCGATGTCGGCCGTGCAAATTCGAACGGATTTGAATGTGTGTCGTCCGAGCGGAGCGGAAGGGAGCGGAGCGGAGGCCGAAGGCGAGAACGTCAGAAGTCGTGTACCATGCACGCGCTCACGCCCACAACTCAAATAGCCGCTAGCCGCTAGCTGGGAGCGTAGGCCCATCCAGAGATCGAACCACGGCAGGAGATATTCCGGTACAGCCAGTGCCGCCCAGTCAGTGCAGTCAGCGCAGTCAGCGTAGTCAGTGCAGTCAGTGCGGGGGGCGTGTACAGTCAAATGAGAGACCGGAGTCAACTCCATGAGGCGGAGTCTTTCGGATGCGGGGGACTGGAGTGGAGGGGTAACGTCAGTCCAGTTCAGCAGGTTCACCTGCTCCGCTGGAGGAGTTCCGTCCGTCCGTCGGACGGCAGCGACGTCCACGATTGCCCGCCTGGGCTCATGTATACGGAGTCATCAATGAGCACTCCCACGCGCTAGCAACAGAGTCAGATGGGAACCAAAAGACGGACACAGGCCATCCGCGCATTGAGTTCTCTCGGAGAATTCGACACGATACCTGAACAGGCCAGCCTTCAATGCGGCTCCGTCGGGTGCGTCGAATTCTTGTGGAGATGAGAGGAAAGTGAGCTAATCTCGCCGCATGGGATTCGTGGCGACCTGTCTTTTGTTGTGGCCTGTTCACATCCGGGCACCGTCTAAGAGCATCTGGGGATTTTCGCAGTTTGTATCCGTAAGGCTGCAAAAATCCTCGAACGCGAAAGCTGATGGAATATATCACAATCTCAAACTTCATTCCACAATAAGGCGCGAATGATTGTGTCAATCATTCCTGACTTACTGCCAGTAACTGTGACATGTTTTGCCAATGTCGTGTTTTTTATTCGCCCTATTACGAAACATCTAACGTGAGTGTCTCATCATCATTCATTCTTTCTGAACTCTGGGCCCTTAGAAGAATATTGTCCGGTGTATTAAACCCGAGAAGAGATTCAGGCGGATGTTCACATAGCTAACATCAATGGTATTATACAACCCCTTTCCTCGTTCTCTGTGAACGACGTAGATGGTTTTGTGAAATGTCCCTGTAATTTGATGGTCTGAGGGCCATCGATTTCTTAGGTGTGCAACATCTTTCTTTCAATCCCCTCCGAATCCCGATATTGAGCGGCGGTGAGAAGAGGAAGACTGGAAATCAAAAGGTTTTCTTACCGACCCACACTCTCAAGTTTCAGACAGAGCACCCAAAACTTGAGCGCCGTTCACTCGAAGTTGCGTACACACTTAGAGCGCATACTTTCCAGCTTTTTCAGCTTTATCCATAGATTTGCAAATCTGCTAGCACACAAGTGGGTGCGGTATCTCAAATGTCAAATCTCTAGCACCAGTACGCCAGTCATCATGGCACTCTCATTTTTAAACTGCTCTAAATGTTGGAAAGCTTCAAACACCTCAAGCATTTGAACGAAGAGTCGTGTTGCATAGCCAATAAGCCATAAATTTACCTGAACTATGATCTTTTTGGGGGGGTTTTTTGTGAACATATCAAGAAGGGAGTAGACTTCGTTTCGTTTGAAAAATAAAAAATACATAAGGTCGAACGCGAGAACACACACCGAATATGAAGATCATGAATGGAGGAGGATTAAATCAGAAAATTCGGAGACCCAAGACTCCCCCATTTCGTGGGCCAAAGCGAGGAAACATGCGAAACTATCATTGCCAAAATACGTACATCATTCGATCTCATACTTTTCACCTGGCCACGGGAAGTTCTCTGTGGGGCAAATTTCCGGACAAGTTGAACAAAAGGACAAACGTTGACAGAACTGACCGAATTAAGTTGCGCACGGTACACTGATAGCACACAATGATTGAGGTCCGCATTAGCCTTTCGGCTTTAACTCGCCTGCCCGAGAACTTTGTCTTCGCAAATCAGTGTCGATAACGACTCCTCATGACATTCAATTTCACTTCTACGAGTCGGGTCCGTCCTTCATTATGATCACGAAGGATAACTCTCGGAGCCACGGACGAAGCCCTGTTACTTACGTGACGCTGTTAAGTACTGTACCATGTGACCGAAGGTTTATGGGGATGCTGTAACTCGGCTGACGGCGTTATATAACGTCGGATTTATCTACTGTACACCATCCTAACGCTTGCACATGGTGGAATGTTTTGCCAGAGCGAACGCCCAAAACGCTCTACGTGGTTGGGATCCATCCCTACGCCTGCCACGTCACGTCGAGCAAGCTTGACCGTTACGTAGGGGTTCAAGGAGACCATGGACTTCCTTAAGGAAGGAGAGGAGAGGAGAGGTTTGCTTAATGAGAAGCTTTCTTTACAAGATTCCCTCCCTCTGATGATGCTCGGTGAAAGTACGGCTCAGGAATGAACGTCCCGACAGACTTCGCAACGTACTGATTGTGAAGGCAGACCTCCGAATTAAAGACATGGAGGCCTGGAACTTTGAACCCTAACGAAGTATACCGAGTCGGATGTTTAAGCTTCAACGTAAGGAAAATGCCACACTTACTCGTGCAGAATCTTGGCCGTGGCTACCTATCGAGGCACGAGCCCTTGAATGTGGTGACATTTCTGTATTTTTTATTGGCTTAATTTTAACGAAAAGCTCTCAAGGTACGAGGGTCGATAGTACGATCGACGCAAGAACAGACAATGCTGGACAGGGGAAATTCTTACTCAACCCCCAATTACGCTATATATAGGCTTGGGAAACAGAAGAAAGCTCATCGCAGTTAATGTGGACGATGTGTGTCCGATCTCCATAAAGACTGACTGTCACCTCGCAATATCTCGTATGTACTATACGGGACCGAGGAAGCCCCATTATCCCATCGGACTGAAAATGATCTTATGGCACGGACGATGATGAAGAGATGTAAGGAAGCAATCGGTCGGACACACGTGTTTCCCTTTTGAGGTTTAGAAGTCGCAAGTTATCACTCTCAGAGTAAACTCTTCCTTCAGACTCGGAATGACAGACCGGTGATTCTGAATCACCGGTCTGTCATATGAATCACTGATTCATATGGCTTATGAAACCCCAATCGGTGAGAATGTTCTGACTCCGGCACAAATTCGAACGTAGGCATCTCCTAGACTATAAAGGTCTCCATGAAGGTCACCGAGGAGCAATTTAAGAAATGGAAAAGGTTAAACCTTTATATACAGGCCACTTAGAAATCTTAGATCTTGAACCAGAACAATATCACTCTACTCGCACGCGTGGTTCTGAGGAACCAGAGGTCAACATTTTACTTCAAATTTGTACCCTAACTATAATCAGTAGCTACCTGTGCCCTCCCATTCAAATTACGCCAATTGTGTTATGTGTATCACCCAAAACCCATCGGCATGGGTGGGTCTGGGCATGGCACCCAAAGTTGGGCTCTGTTAGGAAGCCACTTTGAGTTGTTATCTTCTTCAATTTAATTTTAATTGGAAATGAATTCACTTTGATAATTAAATAAATGGCATGAGTAGTTTAAATTTCTGGAAGTCTTCATAATCTCGTTTGATGGGTATATTTTTATGGTCAATATACTCATTCTATCTATCGTATATTGTGAATGTTAATTTTTTAATAGTTCTTATTTTTTATCAAATTATTCTGTATTCTTGTGTTCGAGTGCAAGATTCCAACAATGTCCATTATGCTTTCGTCGTGGAGAGTCATGAGGACTCAAATATTGTGCAAAGCACACACACGGTTTCATTTCAGTTTGCGAGTCCGAATGAGTAGCGTTCAAGTGAGGTTCAGTTTCTACCAAAAAATTGAGTCAAAGGCTATCCATTTTACATTATGAAAGTGTGCAACGCTCCAGATGCTAAGCATCACCCTCGGCACTTGCTCCCGTTCGTCTGGAATTATTTTTTTTGGCATACTTCATCTACCTCTCAATTCATGATTATCATCTAGATGCTTATCAAACTAGACTTTCCTCTTTCCTATGTATGGAGCTTCTTCTTTTAGATCAAAATGAGATGTATGAAGGTCAAAGATTACCTCATTACATCTCATTTTGATCTAAAAAAGAAAGAAAAGAAATTCGAATGGATGCATGGGAGGATCGAATATATCAAAAGTGAAATTATAATTCAATGTAAAACATCAATGTTATGTGTGAGAACAAAAGAAAGGGAAAAATGAAGAGAAAGTACAAAGAGAGGGTGGATCTATCTGAAAGGTATTGAGAGAGAATAGGTCGAGGGAGTCTCAAACCTAATTAAAAGTAATTGGCAAGGACAAGTACTTTTTGTTGTAGCCTATTGTGAGAGGTTTGCTATTGTGTGTAACCTGCTGCTATAGGTTACTATTTCTACCTTGTACATTCTTTAGGTTACATCGTTAATGATGTACTAAGTGACTTTACAAGGGTCGTCCCTCTTCGTTTCTGAAAGAAGTACACGGCTCACTTGCGGAATAAACATTGAACCATTTGAATCCCTGGAGCTAGAACGCCATTCGTTAGTCCTCTCGTGGTTGATATTGAATACCGCCTCTAGGGTGATTCTCATCGCGATAATCATTTTTGCTTAGGAGGGCAATGTACGTCCAACAGCAAGGGAAAGGGACTACTTTGTACACTACCTTGGTACAATCAACAAGGAACTTAAATCGAACGCAAAAGGTAAAATATATATCTCTCCAGAGCAGGTCACAAATCACATCCAAACCTGTAAGAACAGGTTATCACAAAGGTCCATGTCCTTGCCTAGCACTTTCATGTAGGGTTGAGACTACTTCTGCCCTTTTTTTTTTTTTACCGAAGTCTGATTCACTTACCGAATTATGAATTTTCAAAAGTATTAAGGGCTGTTTTATGAAGAATAATGTTCTTCACTATATCCCAACGGGTCAAAATTACATTTTAGCGTGTATGAATCATCTAAGAAGAAAATACGTACTGAGCATAACAAGACGTAATATGATCTTAGAATTTATGTTCCGATACAGTCGAGCTTAATTTCCAATTGAAAATCATCCTGTCATCCTTCTTTTTCCACTCTTTAATTCAGAAAAAAGGCAATTTGTGATGAAAGCGCTGAGGCTATGATTCCTTTTT